CACTTGCAATCCCAAAATGACTATTCAGACCAGCCTTTATCCTGGGCAAAAGCAGAAAAAAAAAATGCCCATCTATTCTGCTTCCTCCTGGTTGCCCTGTCCTTTAAGAGCTGTATGAGGATCACACAGCAAAACCTGGACATGTTCCCTGGAAACACACAGAAAAGAGATCATGTAAAGTAGAAGCAACAACCACCTGGTGCTCCCAGAAGGATGATTTGGGGGGGGGGGGTTGTTTCCAGGGGAGGCAGAGAGATATCAGGTCATAATGGGTAGACCAACGGCATCAAGTAGATAAGAGCTGTGTTAAACATATAGGCACCTACAGTTTTTTCCTGGTTTGGCAGCATCACAGAGATGATTCTGGTTGTAAACATATAAGGCCTATTTTTGAGCATTCACTACAGTATGCTTTGTGTGTGTCCTATCTCAACATGGCAGAAAACAAACCACAGTCTTCCTCCTCTTATCAGGCCTCAATGCCCAGCCCAGCATACCACCCTCCCACACACCAAGAAATATGGGGATGCAGCCATGCACCACAAGAGATGGGCTCCACATTACTGTATGTGGGTTCAAATAAATAATCCTGTTACTGAACAAGGCCTGTAAGAGAGTGAAAGGAAGGAGAGATGAAAGGAAGGGAGGCTGCAAGCTGACCTACCTCTTCTGTTTGTAGGTCAACATGGCCTCTGAAATGGGTAGCTGGTGAGATACATTGGCACCTGTAATGAACTGAGCAACCCGGCCAGGGATGTCCACAGTATCTGGAAAGGGATGGAGGGGGGGGGGGTTGGAGGGGATACAGAGAGCACCAATGAGGCCCAGGAGCTACTTAGATCAAATATCCCATGATTGGTCTGCATTGCTACAGCCAATTCTAGCTCTTACCTGAACTAGGGGCTTCAACTCTGCTAAAAAGCTCCCTCCAGGCTGCATCCAGAAACAGAGTGCTGTATCTATTATCAACTGACCCAAGGTACTTGGCCAGGGGGTGAGAGCCTGGGAAAGATACAAAGCATTTAAATAAAGGAAAGAAAAAGAGGAGGACATAAACCAGATAATTTCCTCATCCTCTCCTTACAAAGTTGAGCCAAAGGTCTGAGCAAACGTACATGAATAGCAAATTGCCTCACCTCCACACATTTCTCTAGCCCATGTTTTCTTTTGCTGGTTGGCATAGCTGCTTTTGCATGCCAACGAAAGGAAGGAAGGAAGGAAGGAAGGCTCCCCTGGTTTAGAATATGCCACAGCTTTTCAGAACTGGCGCCAGTGGGCAAGACTCTTACCCAAGGGCACCACGAGAAAACGGAGGTAGTTCAGCCAATCAGGGGTCTTGCTGGCTAGCTGCTCCACAAAGAAGCGCAGGACGATGCTCAGGTAGCTCTGGTCCCCTGCCACAGCCACTTTCACTGGGGGAGGCATGTGGGAGTTACAGTTACAGCTGCGAAGGAAGAGAAATCCCGAGAGGTTTGAAGGCTGCAGATCCAGGGGAGCAACACCAAATCCCACCAAGTAACCTACTGCCAGCACTCCCTCTAGTTTAACCCACCCACCCCCTCACCTTATTGGAAGATCCTAGACTTCCCAACTAGCCAACAGTCTTTCAGTTGGAGAGAATGGGAAGCTGTGCATCATTGCCTTGGAAAGCAACGGGCCGTGGAAAGGTGGACCAAATGAAAAGCAATTCCCACCTCTGAAGCTACAACCAGGGTGGCTTCAGGGTCCACGCAACCAAGTACCAAAGTTCTCAGGCACACGGTTAACTTGGGAAACCTATCAGAACCTGTTCGCCGTGGCCTCGGCTGGCTATACTCACTATCTCTGAATGCGAGAAACAATTGTGTTGAAGGCAGCCTGGACATCTGCCATGGAGCAGGTGGAGACCATGGGTTGCTTGTGTTCTTGGAGCTGATCACATAAGTACTGCCAACATAAAACAAGAAACATAGAGAAAAGCAGCTAAAACAAATATGCAACATCTCTGGTCTCCATGTTCTGCTCCTATTCTTGGCTCTGTGGTTTGAATGGGAGGAGAACTCTTCCCGAGCTAACAAGAAGGACTTATTTGGGGATTTAATGCTTTATGATGCTTTTACAAGGCAAATTGTACCAAGACACAGCATATTGAATTTACTTGAATGTTCAGCAAGTTTAGATTTATTACATTGCCTTACTCTTACTCTCATTTGATACCATATAATTCATGAATCTGCAGTTATCTACACATCTGATCTGGCACACTCCTCTGTAGTTTTAATTGTTTTAATGTACATTTCATTGTTTTAAATATTTCCCCCCTCCCTTTTTGGCCAATGGGCTCTGTAAACCCCTGAACTGCTTTTCACAAGTTTCCCTTCCCTTTCAGAGCAGAGGGCTTAGTTAAATGCAGCCCATGTCCAATCAGCTGCCTTCAGGGCTCCCTCACCTGGCCTTGCCACTCTGTGATGTTCACCAGGATGATGCTCTCAGGCAGCTGCTCGTCTGAGACCAGGATCTGGTTGAGCTGATCATACACAGATTTCCGAGGCACCTGCAGCAGCAAAGGAAAGCCATTTTCAGCCCAAATGTCTATGGAGACTCTCAGTCATCGAGGTCACGGTTGTCCCAAAGGTGCTTCCCCCCCCCCCCCCCCGGAGGCAATTGGACTTTCTGCTTTTTCTTTAAAGACATTTCACTTCTTCAGCTTCTTGGAGGAGAAGCAAAATGTCCTCAAAGAAAAATCAGAAAATCCAGCTGCCACTTGGGAAAAAGCACCTTTGGGACAACCAAGTTGAGGACAGTTCCAATCCCTGCAATCATCAAAGACCATAAAGATAGGAGAGATTTTGGCTGTCTTGAGAAAGTTCCAAGTGTCTCCATTGCTTTGATTTTGTTTCTCCGCTCCCCATTTAAGGCATTTCTGGGGGCCCTTCTGCCCTCCGCCCCGGTGCCAGGAAAGAGCCTTTCTCGCCCCACAAGCCAGCATCCCGCTCACCACTGCCTAACCTGGCTGTTCTGCCGGGAGTCTGGGGAGCCCTCACTGTCCAGGCTACCGGTTCGGTCACTGTGGCTCTTGGAGTTTTGTCTATCCTTGACAGACATACTGCGAGGTCGCCAGAGCTGCTTGTTCTCAGCTTTGCTGAAAGACAAACAGCAGGTTATCAGCACAGGTTGAGGGAGGGTAGGCAGGTCTCAGATGCCCAAAGGAAGTCCCTGCTGTGCTAGTGAGCAAATGCCACGAGCAGCCAGAATTTCTAAGTCACCAATGGCTATCGAGACCCAAAGACGGAGACTGAACAGGGGGAGGGGCGGCTAAGAAATTCACACTTACAACAGGGATTAATTGGACGTTGTAAAACAAAAAATACTGTTTGTCAAAGTCTATAAACATCGACTAAGTGTACCACCACCTATGCTTTGATTATTTAGATCAGGGGTGTCCAACCTTGGCAACTTTAAGACTTGTGGACTTCAACTCCCAGAATTCCTCAGCCAGCAAAGCTGGCTGAGGA